TAGTTCTTGAAGTTGTCTTCTGTGTCTTTAAGAGATATTATCAAAAATATGGTGACTGCTGTTGCTGAACACCATGTAATGGAAAGGCAGGCTCTTAAAAGCTGTGCTCTCGTCCACCTTGTTCACTTGCGTAGCATGATTTCTGCCTCTTCCTCAAAGTCAACATGAAAGGCAGATGTTCTGAATCAGTTGAAGATATCAAGGTACCCATAAAAACACAACTGAAGACACAGCAAACAACTTTCAGAACTGCTTCAGAAAGTGACATAAACAATATGATGAGCGGGTTTGAAGTGAGGGGGAGTGTTCTGAGGTGGATTAATGGCTATGTGTCTATAACTATAATAAATTAAACCATTTTAAATCCATTTTATCTTTCTATCATACTACACATATGTCTGAGCAGGGCTGTTTTGTTTAGCCTACAATGGACAGAGAGTAGGAGCTGAGTTGGAGGGTTTTCCAGTAGAACAAAGGGAATAAAAACAAGTGCCTTACTAATGTCAACTGGGAGGACAAAGAGATGCTCAGAGGGAGAAATGACTGGCATGAGGATTAATAGAGAACCACGGTGGCTGCAAAGCAGCAGTCCCTGAATTCTCTTAGTGATTGAAACAAGACATTTAATAGGATGGGAAGTCGGTGAGGCCAACTGGTTAGCGGAACAATTCCGTCTTATTAGCGGTATCACTGCAGTACCCTTGGTGAGACCACCTCTCCCAATACTATACCCTTTCCATCTGTCTCTCCTGGTCTTCTCGCTCACCACACCGGTGTTACTGCCTCAGCAGGGATAGGCAGGGCCCAGTTCACCTTTACATACTTGCCTTGCACATACTCAAAGGTTGGAAAATGGGAGTTCAGCGAGTCTATGACTCCCCTCTCCTCACGGAATGTAATTTCTCATACAATACATTGATGGTAGTGATGAAAGTCTTTTGCACACCCAAAGGCCAAAGGATAACTATGAGGGATAAATTCTTGTTTCTGCTTTGTTGCCACAGGTGTGCAACAGGGACAGGTGTGCAACAGTGAGTCACTGCTGTGTGAAGAGGGCAGGAAAGCCTTGCATCGCATTAAAACACTTTCAACCTGTTAGTCCTAAACAACCCATCAGGAAGCTTTAGTGTTTCCTTGCACCTGTGTCTGCCGCAGCCTTCAAGGAGATAGGGACACCTTGGAGATGCCAAGAGAAGCCTTTTTTGAAGATCCTATGGTGGGAAGGGAATAATGCTGCCTAGCATCTTACAGTGCCTTACAGCTACTAGAAGAAATTCTCCATTATCTGGAAGTGTGCCCTTGACTGAGTCTGCACTTACATGGCATTTCGGAAGTTTTAAAACAGTTTCTTTTGCAAAGAAAATAGAAGGTTAGTGAAATAATGTGGAACATGAATACATCATTAGGATTTAGACTAGAAGATGGAAAGGGGGGTTCCCACGTGGTAACAGTAATGCTCTCTGCCAAGCTTTTAGCATTAGCAAAGTGACAAAGCAATGCATGTACAAGTGGGGTGGGAGAAAGATGCCACATTTGATAGCTAGCCACACACCTTACAGTTCGTCTCTTAAACACGGAGACACAGTCCTCAAAAACAGTTCAAGTCAGGGTAAGAAGAAATGACTCAAGAATTAATTAACTAAATAGGAAGTAAACAAAGAAAAAATTATATTAAAATAAAAGACAAGAAACACGATTAAATTAGGCTTCAAAAGACCCAAGAGAAACTCATAAAAGTTATAATATGTACTTACCTGGTTTTTATTCTTTCATGATTTAATTTCTAATTTTACTCACTACCATCTGATAATTGCATGAAACACTTATTCTAACCATGGGCAATTTAAACTATTTTAATTCTTATTTCAAGGCCAGGAGACAAAGGAACCTATTTATTGCCTAAGGGGATTTTTTTTAACAAAAATTAAAGCTTAATCTTTCATGTTTTAAAGCCAAGACTGTTTAAAATCATTTATAATAATGCTATAGGGAGACTTTTCTTGTGTATGCAAAATTGAAAAGATAAATTTATAAGTATTAAAAAATTAATAGTTTAGGGGATTAAATTGTCCTTTTCCTTTCTAGATAAATTTGTCTGAAGCTTAAGAGACATATTTAAGAACAGGGTAAGCCCAAGGAGTGTGAGGGGGAGGAGATGAGGCTTCCATGCACTGCACAGTCTGAGGTGCTCATGGTACTGATGGCAAGCTAAGTTTACTATCATTTATAAAACAATGCACTGGCCTTGGAAATGGCATGTGACTTTTTTAAAGTATCATAGGGAATTTCTCTGATGAAGTGAAGAGTCATGAATTCTACAAACCACTGTTTGTGTGATGTTGAAAAACTTCCTGATGGAAATGAGATAAATTTACTCTCACTTAAACAGGAGATATTCTAGTTACACTTAAGAAAACTAATTGAAATATAGTTTTAAATTCTTTTTGCTGCAACATGCCAGGATTCTAATGAAATACTCTTAGCCATTATGCAAAGCTTTCCACTAAAGAAGAGAAAAATTATTTTCCATGGTACCTGAAGTAGCAGAACCAACTGATAGGCAGAATGTCTTTCTAAGAGTAATGGGAAAAAAAAGTTGCCAGTGCTGGTTTTTAACTAGAGCAGGAAGAAGGAAAATACACCTTGAAACACATTTTGTCTTTCACTGTGATCTCAGTGAAATAAAAAGGAATAGTCAAATATATTTAAAATTTCCCCTGGCAAACACTCAAGCCATCTTCCTAGGCTTAGTACTTCACATTTTAAGAAGGTTGTGACAAATTTGTGATGCTCATCATCCTGGATGGAATGGCTATGAGACGGCTGACACAGACTTCGCCCTTCACTTCTCTCTGCTCCCCCCTCCCTCTGTGCACCACCATGTTTAACTTGTCAGATTATCACCATGCTGAGTTCCTTCCAGCCTCATTGCTCTACTCCTGCTCTGTCCTCTGTCTGAAGACTCCTAGGTTCCTTCACTCGATTTTGCTTTTTGCTCAATGTCACATTTTGAGGGAAGGATCGTATCTCTTAACCTCTCCACCTTCTGTCTAAGCACTCTTAATAGCCTTACCTACCACTCATATCTCATGTATTTTCTTATCATCTGACTTTCGAGCTTTTTTTTTTTTTTAAATGTATTTGGTACAGGGTTTCACTATGCAGCTTGGACTTGTAGTAGTGATCCTCCTGTTTTCAGCTTCCCTAGTGGGGACTGCAGGTGTGCGCCACCACGGCTGGACTTGGTGGTCAGCTCAGCATGCCAGGGGGTGGGGCCGGCACAGCATGTGGTGCCGCAGATCCAACCTCACTCCCTGAGCATGCCTATGCAGACTCTTAGTCCACTGAGCTATCTTGCCAGCCCATCATCTGATGTCTGAGAGACTGAAAGACTCCAGAGAAGTAGTAGCTCTGTCCTGTTCACTACCATATCCTGGCACTAGGACAGTACAAACATTGTATAGATATTCTTTAGTGAATTACATTATCTGCATGGATCAGCTCCATTTGCTTTTGTACTGGCTTCTTAAACTGACAAGTCTTCTGACTAAAAATACAATAAAATTCATGCATTATACTTCGTGTTTTTTGTTTTGTACTTTAGTACAGGGCCTATAGCGTCTCACTACACAGATTGGACTCGTAGTGATTCTCTTGTTTTCAGCCTCCCAAGCACTCCAACTCGTAGTGATCCTGTTTCAGCCTCTTCAGCACTGGGATTACAGGTGTGTTCCATCATGCCCAGTCTCAGTGGCCAGCTCAGCATGCCTGGGGGTGGAGCCAGTACTGCATGTAGTGCTGGGGATAGAACTCTGGTCCCTGCATTTACTTAAGCAGGTGCTTAGTTTGCTAAACTATCTCACTGGCCCTAGGAATACTATTTATTGTATATAATGAGGCTCATGCATAGTAATTTTAAAAATATTTCAGAGAATAAAGTCACTACACGTATGTGCTTTAACAATGTGATTTCGCCCAATCCACCAAATACTTCTAAATATCTTCTTGTGTTTCCCACTCCCACACTACACTGAGGTTGAAATGTTTGGGATAAAGTGTTCTATAAAGACTGAGGCTGAGTGGTTTGGGTTTAAGGAACATGTCTCATTGCTCCCTGAAGTCACTAGTCTTTAGAAAGCTCATCTGTAGTGTTCTGTACCTTTTATCCTATATTTTTCTAAAGAAAACCCTGCAGCATTGCATTCAGCTTATCCACACTAGCTAACCATTCGAGCATAGCTAATAGAGGGTCACGGGATTTTCAAAGTTAGAAGGAAACTTGGAGATTGTCCACACTGACTCCTTTATGTAACAGAGAAGATGAGATCATCTATTAAAGTCTAGAAAAGTCAAAAGCCAGTGAAACATTCTGCCTTTTCATTTTTTAAAAAGCAAACAAATCATAGTATCTAAACAACCATAGTATTTCTGAATTGTATGAAAAGAAAAGTGGCATCTGCTTTTGAGTAAGGCTACAAATTTCGGAGGAAGAAAGACTGAATTACACAGCCCAGAAGCTGACCATAAATGAACAACAAAGATGTCCCTTGCTAATCATGGATTTTTAAATCAAATGTCAAGGATGGGTCTGGTGTGAGACCCACCACTAGAATGATTAAGGATTTTGCATTTTAACTTTTTGGTGGAGAGGAAGAGAAGATAAAAAAAGCAGGATTAAAAAGACAGACACTCCTCATAGTGACAGACAATTTAAGAAGGATGGAATGGGCAATGGAGATTTTTTTTTAAGTCAGTATGTGGGAATCACTACCAAAGTGGAGTCCCTCAATGAAAAATTTTTTCATTAGAAAGTAAAACACATTCACCTTTTGTTCCTTCAGAGAGCTAAGAGATGTAAGAACCCAGATGCCCACTGTAAGTTGCCTGGCTCTGTGGTTAGACACACCTAACTTTGTTCTTCGCATGTGAGTACACAAAGACCATGCATTGTGTTACCCTTGTTACATCTTCTGCTAGTAAGAGCAATACCTTCTACTCACCGGGACTCGTGAGGGCTCCCAGGGCGCTGCTTGTGGTAGAGAGAGGGTTTGCATTGGTGCTGGTGGCTGAGGTCTGGGCTGCAGCTGCAGCAGCAGCCAGTGTTGCCAGATTCTGTAATTGTAAAGCATTCATGCCTGTGGAAGGAAGAGAAATGTAACATTAGCAATAGGCCCATCATTCCCAGTTCACAAAGTAGAGTAGGTTCACAACATCAAGGTCCCCTGCACTCATGCTTGGGATAGCATGCTCCCTGAGCACTGTCTCAATGACTGGCTGTGCACACCAGTTAGATGGGAGCTATTCTTTCTAGGCCTCTTCTCAGAACTGAACTTTCCTTCAGTTCTTTATGATCCATCCTCTACTGCTATGGAGCAGGCCCTAAGAAAGGGCATTTACATTCCACCCAATAACTCTCCTCAGCAGAGTTAACTCACTTGGCACTGCCTATCCAATGACTTTCTTCCAACTGTTCCTCTCCACGCTCTAAAGGGAACCAACAAAGACTAGGGATTGCTCTGTACTGAATGGCCATAGTGGCACCTTGTGAACTGGTGACTTCTATGATGTAGTTGTTGAGATATTTTGTGACCTGGGGTTGGACAACCTGAGGAAGAGCTCTGGGTTAACTTTCAATCTATAAACTCTTGACTAGAACATATAAAAGGTTTATAGAGGAAATTACAGTTTATCCTTAGAAGTTGAACTTTCATCAATTTTAACTCTGGCTCTCCCAGTCCACACACATTACTCAGTCTCCTCATTTCTTCATTACTAAGTGGCCATACTATCTGTACCTGACCTTTGAGAACTGTTGAGCAAATAAGGTAAAGAATGCAAATTACTCTGGGAATAAGGTAAGTACATGATAAATGCCAGCTACTGTTTTTAATTAATTTTATTGAGAAAAAAATTGCAATGTGACAGCTTCAAAACAGCTTGGTAGGAGAGTTACAACAATTAATACATTGCATATTGTTGTCTTTGTAGTAGTCATTCATAGCACAAGATGCAGACATGATATCCTGCCCAAACACTATTAGTACAGATCTTTCTTCTTACTGAATTAAGACAAAGTAGCTATAAATCTATCCTATTTTGTATATACAGATACAAAATGGTCCTTCATTTATATCCCCTTTGTTTGTTTAGTTTTGTCAGAGATGGGTATTCCAATGCCATCCAAATATTGTAGGTGCATGAATTCAGCAAAATATTCCAATATAGTCCCATACTCTACAATAGTAGTGGGTTATCCACAAGACTGGCAATGTCCGAATCTGATGACTTGAGCCTTCCACAGCTCAGCATATTAACATGGCTTCACTTTTCATATCTCGTTTCTAACATTTTTCTGCTGGCTGGTTAAGACCAAGATAAAGCAAGACCTATATAACAAAAAAATGTAACTTTTGTATCTGATACAGTCAGTCAAGTCCCCTCAGGACTTATCCCGAAACCCTGTACTGCACTTTGTAGATCCTCTGTCCGTGTCAGCCATGTGGATGAGTCACAGCCATTGCTTGGCCAGTGTGCTCTCTGTGAAAGCCTGAGAGAATGTTTTCTCTCCATGTGACTCTCTTTAGGCACACACTACATCATCGATCACATTCCTCTGTGGCCCCATAATCTTGATCAGAAAATGTGGGGCACAACTGAGTTACATGGTGTTATCGTACAGGTTCTCCTATGTCCTGAGTCCTCACTGACCTTGAAAGGCTAGGGCTAAAATGTTGGCTGTCCTTGCAGCCCTTCTTTTTCTCTAGTTTTTGGTCTGCAAACTTAGGTTGTTAATCCTCCAGAAGAGAAGCTTATTATTGCCCTAAAACATATTAAAGTGGGTTTGGTTTAACTTCACTATCTGTCTTAATACCAAACATCTTAGGCATAAGATGGAACATGTTTAAAAAAAACCCAAACATTTACTTGAGATACAGTCTGGCCATAATTGGCATGCCATGACAAGCAGTGCGTATTTATAAGACCAGAATGACAGACATTCCAAGCATGACCCCACTATTATACATTGCTATCTTCGGTGCAGTCGCTCAGTTCACATGTATCAGCATATACGGTCAGGGTGAGAATCCCACCAAGTAATTGCTAGTTTCACAACCTGCTGATAGTTCTCAGGATCATTGCCTTACCCATCTTGTACATATAAATATACTGCTTTGCCCCTGTCATGTTTCCTAGCTTTTCTCCTTGCCTTCTATTCACTGTCTAATCCTCAAGTTCT